CAAGGGGAACGCGCAGGGCGACCACACGCACGTTTCAAAGCGGTGTCGTTGGCGGGAATGGAAGCAAATGGAAAGTGATGCGATCAGTCAATTTACTTTTTGAATAAAAATACACACGTCAAAACCGAATTGATTTACACATATTTGCAAGTTAAAGTGTTTTTAATGTTACTTTTTACTAATATTATAAATGCGAAAGTTTAGATGGATGGATGTTTGTTACAGTTTGTAGTCTAAATGGCTGAACGGATGTCGATGAAATTTGGCATAGATATAGAGGATAGTATGAACACATAGGCTACTCGCTTTTGTTTTTTTAATTCCACGGGGACGGAGACGCGGGCGAAAGCTAGTAATTTAATAGATTTCAATTAAAATGTACAATGAATGATGATGGTATTGTGTTTTGTTGAATATTTTTTCAGCTTAAAACACAAACACACTCAAAAATATAAAAATACCAAAAGCATGAAAATTATTAATTTATACCGCTATTTATTTCAAAGCGTTACAAAAATGATATTTCTAACCTATTTCGAATGAACGCTTCACTCAAAACGACACAAAAATCTCCATACATACAAAATATCCAAGGTTATACTCACGGGTGTGGGTTTAGGCAGATCTGGTACCGGCGTCTGCTCCTCCTGAGGTGTTGTCTGCGGAGGAGTAGCCTCGTGCAGACTGGTTAAGGGATCAGTCACCGCTGCCTCTACTATTGGTTTGGATTCTACTTTCACTGGACAAAATACAAAATAGATAAAATTCTAGTAATATTGAGCCAATGTTTTGCAATTTCATTCGTTATAGCCGTTTATCTTACCAGTGTCAGTGACTGTATCTTGAGCTGGTGGAGCAGGTTCCTCTTCCTCATCAGAACCGAAAGGATCTGTTAATTCCTTGCGGGTCATTAACTTCTCTGGACGCGCGGGGATCGGCTGAAAAAATCACGTTAAACAAAGTTGTAAAAACTACGGATTTTATTGTTATTCCAGTAAAAATTTTATCTGTCCAAAAACATATATCTTATTATTTTGTAATGAACATCTTTTTTTTACACTAGCTTTCGCCCGCGACTCCGTTCGCGTGGAATTAAAAAAAACAAAAGCGAGTATCCTATGTGTTCTTCCAGACTATCCTCTACATCTATACCAAATTTCATCGAAATCCGTTCAGCTGTTTAGGTTACAAACTCTAACAAACATCCATCCATTCATACATCCATCCATCTAAACTTTCGCATTTATAATATTAGTATTAAGTATGATGTGTATATTTCTATCCATTTTCCTTAGTTATTCATTTTTATATGCTTTTTTAAAACTAGTCAACATATTACGCGCACATTTTTAATCTATGTGTTGTTAATATGCATTTTCTTTTGCAACATGTTTGTGTACGGATAATTCCTTTTATTTTATTTCTTACTGATAAGTGTGTAAATTTATTATTTCTGCCTATCCACTGCTTCTACTGACATCCGGACGATCCCAGAGTTCTCGTAAAAGATGAGGCACCCAGTATTATAATTTTTTATTTATAACAAATTAATTATTTTGTATTATTACTGTTTATCATACTAGCTGTTGCTCGCGACTTCGCTTGCGTGAAATTAAGAAAAATATATCCTAAGTTACTCACAGATAAATTACCTTTCTAACGGTAAAAGAATTTATAAAATCGGTCCAGTAGTTAGAGTTATTTCAATACATACAAAAATACAAATATTTCCTCTTCATAATATTAGTATAGATTTGTTTTTGATTTTTTTGGTATTTCTGATTGTGTTTTGTGTTAAAATAATAATAATGTATCTATGTACAATAACGTTGGTGTGCTTGTCTTACCTCTGGTGGGGGAGGGTCAGTGAACCACTTGGTGTTGGACTCCCTGGGCTTCAGGTCCCGAGCTGGGGACAGCATCTTGCCGAGGATGGTCTTGGACTGCTGCACCAGCAGGTCGCGGACCTCCTTCATGGGCGCTGGAGAGATCTTCTCAGGACTGGCCCGCTCTTGTGACTTGCTGTCCGAGTCTTGAGAACTGAAATATTCAAAAATAACATTTAAACTTCTGAAATGGTACTAAAAAAACTAAATATTGCGTTATTTTATAATCTGGTTTTACTGTTATCTTGTGAAAATTTGGTAT